GCGGGCGGGGGGTGGCCCTGCCCTGGGTGCCCAGCCTGCAGCAGCAGCCAGGGCATGGGGACGGCACGTCCCATCCCCAGCAGCAGGGGTTTGGAGCACCTCCCTCCATCTCCCCATCTGTCTCTTCCACCTCCTCCTCCAGCTCCTCTCTATATCCCCCATCTCCTCCTGTCTCACCTCCAGCTCCTCTGGTCTCCTATCTCCCAGTCCACATCCTTTCCCCCTCCCCTCTATCGTTCTCTCCATCCATCCTTCCATCGATCCCTCCATCTCTTCTCCATCTCCCCATCCCTCATCCCCCCCAGGACAGACCCAGCGAGGCCACGGCAGACCCTCACCAGTCGTTCTCCTGCTCAAAGTAGCAGATGGAGATGAGCCGGGAGCCACTGCCCACAGCAAACTTGTTCTCCTTAGGGGACCACTTGACGCAGCGGGCGGCCCGGTTAATCCGCAGGATGACCAGGGTAGGTTTCCAGACGTTGCCCTTCAAGGTCCAGACATAGGCGTTGCGGTCGGTCCCACATGTCACCAGCCGGTTGCTCTCAGGGGCCCAGTCGATGCCTGGAAGGCAGAGGGAGGTGATGGTGGCCCAGGGAGCCATGGGGATGGGTCACTCAGGGCTGGAGGCCACTTGAAGGCAGAGCTGTTCTGGGTGGTCTCTGCTGCAGAGTCCCTTTTATCCCACTCCTACATCCATCCCAAATGATCCCACCCCATCCCATTCCATCCCATTCCATCCCAATCCATCTCGCCTCATTTCTTCCATCCATGCACTCCTTCCCACCCATCATCCATCCATCCATCCATCCATCCATCCATCCATCCATCCTCTGACCCCACCCCACCCCACCCCATCCACCTTGTCCCACCTCATCCCTCCCCATCCCGTCCCTCTCCATCTCTCCCATCCCATCCATCCCATCCCTGGATGCCTCTGACTAGATCAGGGCCAGGAGAGGTAGACACAACCTGCTGTCTCTCCTCTACCCACTGCTCAACCCCCATTCAGAAGATGCCGGTGCCACCAAGGGAGCTGGGACTCTTTCCGGGGCAGGGGCACCCACCAGCCATGTCCCTATCCCCTCCATCGGCCAGGACTCACCCGTCACCTGCCCGTTGTGCTCCTTCAGCTCGTGGACTTTGCTCCACTTGGCCCCGTCCTTGCGGTAGATGTGGACCTCGTGGTTGTTGGGGCAGAGGGCGATCTCTGCGGGGCGAGAGCAGCACGGGCAAAGCCTTCCCCTGGGTGGTGGGCTCTGCCGGGGGCAGCAGGGCCCCTTGCTGTGCTCCAGGCTCGGTGCGACCCCACTGAGCCCTGTCTGCATGTTGGGGTCCCACCAACCCCCCCCATGCTGCCCCGAAGCTGGCCCTGCTCCCACAAACTCTTCCAATGGGGAAGGGAGACCTGACAGCCCAGTGTCCTCCTTTCCCCAGTGTGTGGTCCCGTGGGACTGGTAGGATGGGATGGTACGAGATGGGACAGGATGAGATGGGATGGGATGGGACAGGATGAGATGGGACAGAATGGGATGGGATGGGATGGGATGGGATGGGATGGGTTAAGTCAGGATGGGATGAGATGGGACAGAATGGGATGGGATGGGATGGGATGGGATGGGATGGGATGGGATGGGATGGGACGGGATGGGAAGGGTCAAGTCAAGAAGGGATGAGATGGGACAGGATGGGATGGGACAAGATGGGACGGGATGAGGTGGGACGGGACAGGATGGGACGGGATGGGATGGCTCATGTCGGGATGGAATGAGATGGGATGGGATGGGACAAGACGGGATGGGATGGCTCAAGTTGGGATGGGATGAGATGGGATGGGATGGGACAAGACAGGATGGGATGGGATGGGATGGGATGGGATGGGATGGGATGGGATGGGATGGGATGGGATGGGATGGGATGG